AAGAAACCATTTAAGCAGATTACGGCTCTATTATATTTGAGCACCTGCAGCGTGTCACTAGACAGGACCGAATAAGGCTCTGTTAGGATACCTGCTAATAAGTGGTGCTTACGCCGCTTCAATCTGGTATCAAAAACTGAAGGGGATTATATATCTTAGCGGCGGTATCAAAAATTAGCAGCATGCTAGTAAACCCATAAGATCGGGTTTTATTTTTCCGTACACTTAAAGCGTGATTTGCCGTATAATTCCATCGAAGATGCTTCGCCGATGGTTAACAAGAGAAGATATGAGATCCAAATTTGCTTTTGGCAAACAAGCTGAGTTTCGAGGTCCTTCTGAATAAGAACTGTAATTGTAATAAAACTTCTAATTCTTGACGTCCATTGGATGTTTTTCGGGTGAGCTGCAACAGGGTGTCGGGTCACGTTCTCGAAACATTGTATAATGCAGAAACTACCTCCATTATCCCAGTCGATTGTCGAATTTGTGCACTTAGAACATAATCCCGGAGAGGCACCCTGAGTTTCTTCGCTCTATCAGCTTTCTATCCTCGGCTTTAGTAGCAGACCAGCGTTCAGCACTGTGGTTCATGACGGAAAGCAACGTTTGAAGCAAAGGCAGATAACTCGACAGCTCACTTTCGAGTATATTGGCATGCCTCAAAATCTGGTCCATCCTAACTTTCTCCTTCTACTGAATTTCCCGTCAAACGAGTTCATGCGGTCGCGGTCCACCTGACTGCCGAGGTATACGTAGCTGGTGACTTCTTCAAGTTCTTCAAGTCCTCAGGACGGTGTTTGTTTCGCATCCATTTCTGCTTGGAAAGGTTAGCCTCCACACGGATTATAAGGGATTCTGGATTTTCTGTTGGAGCCCATCATTTCTACTGCGATGCAGGTTTCTGCAAATGGCAAGTGCACTAATTGCTCTCCATTAATATGAACCTTTGAACCAGTTTAGCCGGTTCAAGAGTGACTCCAAGGCCTCAAAGAAGAGCGCTGATGATATGATATCTCATTGGAAGCATGCTAATGGGACATGGTTCGTTAAGCAGCCTCATATCAATCTTTCAATCGATGTTCAGATTGACGCAAGCACGGTTTACGCCATGTTCGTTCAAGACGGTTCTCAATTTTACCAAATCTAACTGCTTCTTCAGTCGAGCACTTGATAGTCTCTGCCCTTCTTTGTCAGCTGCCGGATGACGTGCATGTGGTCGATGGTAGACAACCCCATAGGAAAACCGACCGACCTGTTCTCGGCTTTTGGTTCGAGGTCACTCCGAGCAGGGTTAAAAATGATCAGCGTGAAGAATTTGTAGATTTGCAAGAGAAGTGCAATTGGTTGATGGCTTTTGAGGCCTCTTGAGTAACCTTTGATCATGAGAAGAAATGTTTTGATGTCTTCTCCGCCTAAGGTATCTGCCTGATATATTCCGTAAAACATTTGAAAAGAGCATTGATCAGGATTGTTCTAAATCCTAGAATATTCTGATCTTGTATCATCTTTGCTCGGACAATTGTCGTTATTGATGTTTCCTGTTGTCCACTGAACTTCGTTGTGGATGAGTTTAGGAATGGCTTCTGTGACAACTCCTGACTGATGCCAAAGTTTGAAAAGTACTGTTTGTTGTACAAATTGCGATTAGTAGTTTTCGACTATGCTTTGTGTTTCACCGTTCTGAAAATCCGTGTTTTGGGCAGGTATTTCGTTCCACAGCTTTCAAGAGTTTTTCCTCTTTATTGCTTCTCTAAAACGTATTCTCCAGTAACCATCATGGTTTATCCTCAACCTCATCCGTATCTCGTTGCACAATGAAGTGTGCATGTTTCCATTTCGCGTTTGACTTTTAGTTGGACTTTTCTAGGTATTAAGTTTCGCAATTTTGCACATTGTACCATACTTTCCGCGTCATTAAATCCCTTGCTTTGATATTCGCCAGAGATCGAATAGACAGGGAGGAGCTTAGACTTACGAAGAACAAAAAACACAAAAGCTGCAAAATCGTATGCTTCGGAAACCAAGACATCACCCCTATCGGATAAGTAAACGAATCGTTAACATAGACCATTCACATGAGATGACGTCTCATCCATTATTAACAGTAAGAAGTTTTAATTTTGACCAGTTATAATCAGCCAGTCTTATCAGTCAATCTGTGTTGTGTGACTGATAGGGGGCATTTGTGTACCCTCTTACTTAAAAACACATTTTAGCATTTGGTCACCGAAACGTTAAATGCCTGACATTTTAGATTATAAATTACTGTCTCTTGTCACACTTACATTTTGTGCGGCTTGACTGTTTTCAAAAGGTAGTCTCCGATGCACGGGATTTCCTCCTCGGCAGGAAAATGATAACCCTTGATTGTTTCTTGTACGCATTCTTCGATGACCTGTCGAGGGGCGGCAGACAATGTCCGAAAACAGTGATAATTACCTTCACTCATTTCGATCCACTCCGATTTATTTTCAAGCCAATCCGGGGTGATGTACAGCTGGAAGTCGTAGCTTTCTGCCGCTGCAGAAGAAGACAACTCAAGCAAAGCCGGCGGTCGGCACTGATTACTGAAACGTACTCTTAGTGTCAGTCCGGGCGACGTGTGAACAAGCCGTAGTATCCTCGTTACCGTGTAAAGCAATTTTCAGACGCGTTTGCCAGCTGCTGCAGATTCATCAGAGAGTTGATGTACCTGGTGATTTCGACGAACTTGGACGTGATGCACGAATAGTACTTCCACAGCTGCTCTCCGCATGTTTCCTTGCTGTTGCTCGGTTCGGCTGCAGTTGAGCTGCGCCAGCACGGGTAGCACAGTATCAGGGCCAGAATCTGCATCCAGATCACCTTCATCGTACGTACTTAAGGAATGCACATCGCCGTCACGCCGGAAAACCCATATTCTTCACGTTCAGTCGTCTCAGTGCTGTTGATCTAATCCCGTGACTAGACGTTTGCCCTATTTTGATGCTAGTTTTCCCTGTGATGCATTCGTAATAGTTTTTATGCACTTTCTAACATATCTCTACTGTTTTAGCCGCTGGCGAAAGCGAGTGTAATCCTTCAGATGCTACCGTTGCACAAACCGGTTGACCAAGGTGCATGAGCGTTGGCTGGAACCCTCGAGGTGAGGACAAATAAGAAAGGAATATAACTGCTGGATTGTTGGTGATTCCTTCAGTTCTACGACTGAGCAAAATTTGTATTACCTGCTTGACACGAAGTTTATAACGTGGTGCTAATCGTTATTTCTGTTTGCTCACTGAGGAGTGCTCTAATGTTGTTTTCTGACTATGTATGCATATCATGTGATGATTATAGCTTGCATGCGCTGTTTTCCTTTCATAAAGAGTGCTCGTTTATCTGCCTCAAAAGGTTAAAGAGCGAATGATCAGATTCCGGTTCGAACTAAGAATCTTTCGATTGAATGTAAGACGTTCTACTGACAAGGCAGTCTTTGGATGAAAATGAAGAGGTACATAGACAGGTAAAACGAATGCCTCTCTGAAGCATGGAGCACGACCGTAAATCTTACTTTATAGCGAGTATTTCCATTCGTTCAACACAGTTCAGCTTTAAGGTATCAACAGTTAACATTCATAACTGATAATTATGCGGACACTGCCTTGAAGAATGCAATCGATTCTGTCCAATTGATTTTGCATTTAGGAGGCATGTGGAAACTAATCAGCTGAAGTTCTGAAAATAAATTTTATAGCTGTCTGACTGCGACAGCATCAATGTCGGAACGGCTCATTATGTTCTTTGCCTTTTGGGGATCATCTACATCATTCAGCATTTGACATATCGCGCCAAGGGACGTTATATTTGACTACGGCGATGTTAAGCACTAGCAAAATAAAAACTTACGTTCGAATGAGCTTTCTAATCAATGTGTTCAGTGGTGGCTTTTTGGGACGCTGCAAGACAGAAGACAACACAACTCTATGGCAGATGCCTATGGCCTGAGCCAAAAGCACCGCTAGAAATCACCGATTGCGTGATCTCATGAACAGACAGAAAGAAGGAGGTTCTTCTATGACCGATTATGCCCCTGACAGAAGTGTACTGAGTTAGAACGGCGACGGTCATTTTGGAAAAAGCCGTGACTTTGGATGATGAGTAGCAATTTCTGACTATTTGAACGCAGGGTAGCCACAAAGATCACACATCCGCCTTTTCCAGCTTTCAAATTGCGGCTCTGCATAGCTGTTCCAACAAAACAGATTTTATAGAGACGTTCTTCGGCTCTGTCGCAAGCAAGAGACGTGCGTTATAGCCTTAATGGCTGAGGCAAAGAGACTGACAGGGCAAATTATATTCAGTGTACAGTGTCTCAAGTAAGAGTACGATTTTCTGAGGTAGGGGAATCACTCAAAAGTTTTAAAAATTTGATGCATGTAAGTTTATATTTGCTGTTTTTGGGTTGCTTTTCATCGCCCCTTTCAAGAGCTCACTTATAGGGATCACTGACACAGTGAAAATGAGGTCAGCTTCGAAGTGTGCAGAAGAAGTGACCTCTGTCCACACTGCGAAAACCTTCAATGCCCTGAGCAAAGAATTCACCCACTCGCCAAGTTGCTTCGGTTCAACGAGTAGAGAAATGGGTGGCGAGTCGTGACCCTTTCACAACAGGGACATTTTCGTATTCTGGCGTGATAATTCGAGAATGATGAAACGCACGGCCATGCTGTCTGATGGGAGGTCTATTGTAGCTGCATTTAACCTTGACCCATCTGATAGCTGACTGCGGGCGACTCCGACAGAAAAATGAAAACTATCTTTGCGAAGGACCATAGATCCGCATAAAAAATTTAAGTAGTGTTCTTATAATGACTGCATTGCTGTTATTATTTTATAATAGATTTTCTGGACTATAGTTTATAGCAGTACCGTATTTCGCTGTAACTAAAAGTAAATTTGTCTTTTGCATTTTTTGCATCTGTACAATACAAGCGAACTCAGGGAACAAAAAATTTTCATTGTCTGGGAGTCAGGCATTAATATTCAGAATTTGAGGGCTTTGCTCTGAACGGGTTGCCAAAGTGCTTCCAAAGAACCATGGATTTGTTCAGTATCACAGTATCTGAAAAGAACGAAAAAGCATATAATCATTTTCAAACGCATTGTCTCTAAACTCAAAAGCATTTAGACAATTTAATCAAATGCTCAGTAATTATTTTCATTATTCACACCTTTCAGCCCATCAGACGGAAGCAGACATACAATTATCAGGAAGAAAAATTAGCGGAGTTCTGAAAACAAAAGAGAATATGAAAAGAAATTATTTCAGTACTTTAGCGTAAAGCAGATGTTGCGATTTTCCGTTTGAAGATTGGCTATGAAACGTTCAGTGCAATTAAGCTCACATGTCACTCACAGCATAAAAAATTTTGACCCGTGTAAATAAACTTTCTCAGTGAATTTGGACCTAAAGTTAGGAGAAAATTATTCAGCACAAAACTTTTAACTTTACTGTAGTGTTAAATAAAGATGGCAATTCATTACAATCATCATCGTCATCATCATCAATTTTCATAAGTTTGGCCTGAAATAGACAAAATTAAAGATTTGACAATAGTCAGTTTGGTGAAGTGTATGAAGCAGCGACTTTACAATTATCTCATGAGCTTTTCAAGCCCTTACATTTCATATATGTTGTGAAATATTGGCTATAATCACCATTTTTATCCAGGTGGCACTGAAGGTAAGGAAATTGTTAAAACTCTACCTCATTAGCTGCTGTTTACGGATGGCTAAACAATAAAATTCAGAATTACTGTTGGATGAGTTTCTCTTAAGAGGAAAGTCATGCTCCCAAACAAAAGTACAATTAAGCTCTTCAACGTTGCAGAGTTTTAGAAACGCGCAGTGCTACTTACCAAGGCGAGGAACGACTTTCACAGAGTTCTGCACCTCCTCGTCGGTAACCTTCACCAGATGGCTGTACTTCAATTCTTGTGTCAGAACGGAAGTTCCATTTTTTATTACCCAACGGTGATGCATAATTTCATTGAGTGTATACCGATGACCGGGATCTTTTTCCAACATACAGGAAATCAGTTCCTGCAGAGAGTGAGAAACGTGGGTTCTAAAGTAATTGTTGAAGCTGTCGTTGTTGGAGGGGATTCGATCAGGAAACTTTTTCGGTTGCTCCAGCGGCTCATTTCTAATCTTTTCGTACAGAGCGGCGATGTTCGAGTCAACGAAGGGAACGTTGCCGTACACGAACGCGTACAACGTTATTCCAAGCGACCATATGTCCTGAGCCTATGATGACCGAATGAACGGCGCACATTTGACTAGAGACCGTTACTTACACGGCCACTGTAGAACTGGTTGCTGTTCTCTGGAAAAAAACAATGCCAGGTTGAGTAGCCAGTGCTAAGCATAAGTGCGCATTACCTCTGAGGGCTTCTGGAGCCACGAACGCCGGCGTGCCTACAGTCCCTGAGAGGTATGCGTCGACACCGGTGAATTGGCTGGACACACCAAAGTCTGCTATCTGAATCACTGTGGACATGACGAGAGCCCGAAGCCCTTTACGGACAGCTTACCTTGACGGAACCAGTGTTGCTAAGAAGCAGATTTGACGGTTTTATGTCGCGGTGCACAATCTTCTGAAAGTGTACTTAAACACGACCAGCGTACTGTCATATTTGCTATGAGATTACTGCTGCAACATACGATATTCTAAGCCTAACAGTGTGTCCCGCAAATATCGCCAGGCTGTTTCTTCATCGAGCGGATCATCAGTGGGTACCTCCATAACCGGACTAAAACCGAAGAACATCCAATTGGTGCAATTTGCGCACAACTATAGACCATATGCATTTTAGATATTTGCATATCTATCCAAACTATAATTGTTTTATGTGTAAAACTTTAAAGATGAATCAGACATGATTGAAACCACCGAAGGAATTTATACGGGGAAATTAATTGGCAATTCCTCTTCCATCCATAACTTGACACATTTCATTATGCATATATTATGAGCAATATATGCATATAATATAATCACATAACCTATATATTTACTGAGTATTAATTGGCATATGACTTTAAACCTTTGTAGTCTGAAAAGCTGTCGGCAGTTCATGTAAATTCTGAGCTCAAAAAATCAGCAATCAATTTAAATCAGTCTTTGAAATTATGCCGGCTACAATGCGGTTATCTCATCTTTGAAGATCTCAGCTAACTGGAAAGTGTATGAATCAACTGAACAAAAGAACCCTCTTGAAAGTGTTTCATCAAATGCCTGTTACATCTTTGAGCATAATCTTCACAATTCAAAGGGCAAAAAAATTATGTCGTCTTTCGCAGAGTCAGCTTTAGGAAAGCTGAATGCCAAACAATTTTCAATGCACCCCCAAAAGTCAAGAGACGATACAACTCGAAGTACAATTATCTTCGTGTCTCACCTGGAATCAACAACGATATCTTTCAGGTTTCACCGTGTCTCGTAACATGTAAAGTGATTGTGCGACATGCACGCTTTTCAGTACATGTTTTCATGTATACTGTAGTTTTTCAGTTATCTTTATCGGCAGGTTATTCCAGTTATCTCTAAGTTTATCTTTTCAGTTATCTTCCTCGACAGTCATCTTTAATAATTCTTTACCAGTAATCTTTCATTCCTCTAAAACAGTAATCTGACATGAGACTTAAGACGATCTCAGAGGAATGTTCACAGAAGCGTTATATGCATTTGGCAGAGCTGAGCTATCCGTTGCTGATCAGGCTTTGTTTGATAAATCCTATGAAGATTATTTAACGACGTTCAAATTTTTTCCAATGTCTGTCATGGATTCACTCTGTGAAAGTACAACATGTTAAAACATTCTCCTGCATATAGATTATTGAAGCTCCTTCACCAGAGATCAGTTTGCTCGTTCAGTGACGCTGAAGGTCACAGAGACAACGGCTGATCCACACCGAAAGGTTTGCATTTAATGGCGTGACTTTTGTATCAGTTCGATGCAAATCTGTTACTTCGTGGTTGTCCCCCTGTACTATTTGGGATCTGCTGAATGCCGAGTAATTTTCAGCTACTGTCATGACTAATCAATTATCGAATAATCTGCTTTTTTGTTGCTGAATATGCAAATTTTTAGTTTCTGAGCATTTCGGGGAATAATAAACTAAAGCTAAAATAACGTAGAAAAATATTAATATAGTGAATAAAACATATTTGCACCGTTCAGGTGTGAACTGCGGTAGTAATCCTATAAGCTAATCACAAATTTCATATAATAAATTGCCAGTTTAATGGTTCTAGATGCTGGAAAACAGACAGATGTCGATAGCGATTAAAACTGCAGAAATTTTAGTCAAACTACATTTAATATTCTCAGGAAAAAAATACCGTTTGCCCAGAGCATGGTCAACGTAGGTCGACTGAAACATCAACATTTACAATAAAAAAATGCAATCTGTCTGTTTCGTTGTGTCTGCAACCATTGAAATGATGATTTACTGAACAAGAAGATACTGGGATGAAATATGTTTCAAAATTTTATTTGCTTCATTAGATTATTCAAAATTACTCATACGATGAAAAAGTGACACCTCTAAATCATAGTTAATAAGACACAAAACAAAGCTACACGTTTGCTTACCCTTTCTCCAGATATTCGAAAACTAAAAGTGAGACAAAATGACATTTATTATGTGGAAATCAAAGCTGGCAAAGTGAAGTCAAATAAATGAACAGCGAAACCAATTAAAATATGCCTTAAAATAACTGTAACAATTTAAATTAAATGGCATTAATTTATTTTTACTTTTTATGTCTTTACTATATCATTGCCATCACTATGTTTCATATAGTTGTTATAAATAATGCTAAAAGGTGAGTAATGATTCATTACTTGTTCAATACCAGATCTCGCAGTATATTACGCCGCCTCCTTAGTCCTAGTTGCATAGGGAGAAAATTAAAAAGGCCACGGCTCGATGGCATCGAAACATCCGAAGTTCCAGATGCATCTCATATTACTTGCTCACTAGAGCCACCTCGAGGTCTTTACGAAAAATTTTCAGGATGTGGTACTTCTTTTATGTTGCTGCACAAACATACAAATATGTTTGCATGCTGAAGTATGATAAATATGGCATAGCTACGTCAAGACAAGATTTAACGGCGTTTTGCACTGCCAGGGTGATGCTAGTTGCCTAGGGAACAGCTCCATAGAATTTGAGCACATGCAGTGCGAGGCTCATCTCGTTAGTCAGTAACGAAACAGGGCATATTAAACGCCCACCACCAAAACATCGAGGAAAGATAAATATTTGACCGTTATAAAGACATTAAAACAAGCATTCATGGTCTGTTCAATGGAAGAGGGTTTTATAACTGTGCTTAACTGCTGCAAAAGCATAAACTCTCAGGCGCCCTTGGATCGTTATCAGTAGCAAGAGGTCACACATGGTCATTCAGCTTGATCCATCAAGAATTATGCCGACACTTGCTGGCTTTGTCTAAAGTTTGTGTTGTACTGATGCTAGAATTTGCAGTGACGCTTTCAGAGCTTTCTACTTCTAGTGTTTCACCACTCAGCGCTGTTTCATTGCACAGCTCCAACTTCTAATATGGTTCCATCCAAATTTGTCACTAAGCAAAGACAAGCGCAAGGTTTCTGCTGTGTAAATGAGCTATGGATTTAAGCATATGTCGATTTTCCATTGGAATTCATTGAAAGTAATGATTCCATCGTCATCATCATGAGCATTTGTCGATCCACAACTGGACGAATGCTTTGTAAAGACTTTACCACAGACTTGATTTCTTCCGTCTTAATTCATCTTGATCCAGCGAGAACGTCTTCAACACATTCTGCCATCAGTCTGAAGGTCTTCCTACGTTCCCTTTAGTTTTTTTAGAACTCATTCTGATGTCTGGTCAAGCGATTGTCGATTCCCCTTTCAACGTGTTCTGCTTATTGCCACTTTAATTTCTTTACTCAAGCAATGACGTTGAGGACTTTCGTTTGTACTTTAAACTACTCATTCGTCTTCCTAACGTTTCTTGCTTTTGCTTAGATCCTGCCAAGCTGCGTTGTCTGCAGGTTATGAACAGTTTCCTGGATAAGGCTGGATGATCTTCATCCATAAGTTAGTACTGGAAGAACACACTAATCGAATGGTTTTCGTTTCAGGCACAACAGCAATTTCCGAGATTGGAACAGTTTCAGTCTTCGAAAGTGCTCCCCGCCACTTCCATTCATCTCTGATTGAAAAAGCCGGTTTTCGGCTACCGAAAT